TTTAGTTTCTCCACATTTAAAACATTTTGAGTTGGGTCGGGTTGCAGCTACAAAGGTCTGTACTCTTAATATAAAGTCTGGGAGGGTTTCAGTTGGTTTCTGCTTTAGGAAGGTTAATGAAGAGGTCTCTCCAGGCTCTGTGGACAAGGGGGTTAGTCAGTCCCAGGTCTGTAGTGCACATAAGTGGACCTGTTCAAAACAGCCAGCAGGAATTACAGCCTGCTGGATTCCTGTGGAAAAATTGCCCTGACCGAACAGTTGGTCATAATTCCAATCTATGAATCCAGGTGGTGGATCTTGCCCTTGTTGTGGTCTTAGTTGTTGGTTATGTATGTCATTTCTTTTAACATGCATCAGGCATTCATCTCTAAATAAAGCCTCCCATTGTACAAATAATGGACTGGGGAAGGTGGATCGAGAGATATGGCTCCAGTCCTGGGGATTAGGAGGTTAGTATTAAAGGTCTGTAGTATAGATTTGGTCAATGGAGCATGGATCCCATCCTCATGGACAGCTTGGCATAGTTCTTTTAAGTCTGGTGCCCGGAGGGGATACCAAGCCAATGGACATTGTCTTGTTATTTGTAGGTTAACAGGGAAAGCTTCTACAGGTGGGGTTTTTGGGTCCTGAAGCCATTGTGGCTGAGGATCCTGGGGTGCCATAGATGGTGGTGCTGGCAGTGAAGGGGGAGGGGGATTTATCTGGGAATCTTTGGAAGTTTTGAAGTCTGGGTTTTAACATCTGGGTCTGTTAAATCAGTCCATGAGGATTCATAGGGGGGAAGAGGGGGTAAAGGTTATTTTTGTTGATGGGTGGTTTTTGTCTGACTTGGTCAATTTTTATTTTTTGGACTGTTGAACCTGTTATCGGGCAATCTTTAGGATATTTTTTCTTTATTTTTTTATGGCTGTCAAATCTGCTGTTTGGCAATCTTTAGGGTCTTTTTCTTTATTTGAACCCTCCCCTTTATTATCCCCTGTTTGTTTTCTGTCTAGTAAATCCTCCTCAGGCTTAGGTGGGTTTCCTAAGCATTGTCCAATGGCAGCTGTTACAGGAAGGAAGGAAAGGGGCAAATGGTGTCTTTCTTGGATTTCTTTTTTATGAGCCAGATAGGCAACATGGGTCCAGACCTCTGGGTTGGAGATGTCTGCCAACAGCATCCAGGGTATGAATTGAAATACTTCATTCCAAAATTTTGACCCTTCCTTTTGGGAAATCTTAAGTCCTCTTGATTTAAGTAGGGCTCTAAGGGAGTGAATTTGGAGGTTTTTTTGGCGTGACGCTGAATTCCCCATTATAAAAAAGAAAGGAAGTGTTGTCAGTGATGTTTGATGCTCCTGAGGCAGCCTGCTATGGGGGATTGAGAAGCTTTGATAAACACGAGCCTAGCCTCAGATTTAAGAAACTGGCAACTGTCCTTGTGACTTTAACTGGTTGCTGCATTGCCAGATTTTTATGATAGTTGTAAAGGTTATTGCCTACACCCAGTTGGGCTGTTGGGGTCCGGAAAGAGGGCAGGGGGCCTTCGGCCAATATCGGGGAGTTGCCCCGACCAAGAGGCTTCAGTTGCCCGCAAACCATATCCAGACCCTCGCAAAGGTGTTAACAGAAAGTAAAGCAAAGACAGAGAGAGACTACCCCTGCCCCTCCTTTTTTCTCCAGGGGCATATAAATTTAAATTCTCACCTAACTGGTTTAGCTTGAGTCTGAGTGCCCCTGGGATGAGATAACAAAACAGATAAGGAAGTTTATCTTAGAAGTTGAATTCAATGGTTGTGTGAAAATCCCTTAGAACTCTGGGGATTTTGTTCCTAGGGGTGTTGTTCAAGATAGAAAAGGAAAGGGGTGGGTGAAACGCTGATTCCTAGGGGAACATGCCTAGGATCAAAACCCTCAGGAGATTCCACCTGGTCCACAGCGCAAGCCTGTCCACAAATTTAAGAGATCCGGCAACTGGCTCTAAGAGCAATTAACTGGTTGTTGTGTGACTGGTTTTTGCATTAGAAAGATGTATAGATGGGGGTCTTGTCTACACCCATGCGGGCATTCAGGGTCTGTTAAGGGGGCTAAGAGCCTTTGGCTAACATCGGGGGTAGCCCTGATTAGAAAGCCTCAATTGCTCCTTCATCTTTAACGGTCCCACATGAAGACTCAGACCGAAAATAAAAGGAGGAAAAAGAGGAGAGACTGCCGATCCTCAAGGGTGGGGGTGGCCAAGACAAAGCTGCTGCTACCCTCTTGGAGAGAGGGGGTACTCACAAACTCTGCATGTTCTAGGAGCCTCATGTTCAGGCGGCAACTGTGGGTCTCTCCCTCCCCTCATAGATCATTGGCCACCGATCCATGAGGACAAAGGGAGCAGAAGCAATGAACAGGGTCAGGATGGCCAGTGAGCATGATGGAAAAGACCTTCCTGGGAGTCAGATTCAGTGATACAGCTCCGTTTATTCAGTGGGGGTCAGAGAAAATATAATGTGGAGGCAGTAGCCAAAGCCTCAACTGATAGGTGTTCATAGTACACTTTATTTACATGTAGTAGGGGGATCCTATCATCTGGCTATAGGGAAATGCCTAATTATCATATAGAAAAAACCTGGGGGCAGTTTTATTGCAGGTAACCATGCCAAAGGTCATGTTCCAAATAAGGTCAGGCATCCGTGCTTGGTGGCACTTTCCAGGTAAGTCAGGCAGAGAGCAGGAGGCCTCCGCTGAGAAAGGGAGTCCTTCCATATAGCGCCGAGCCCCTAGAGCTATCCCGACATGGTGGACTGCAACCTTAGCAGCAGGGTCCCCCAACACTAACTGTTTTCATTTCTTTATACTTCATGTTCTGAAGGGGTTTTTCCCCCTTACAAAGTACATATATTGTTTTAAAAAATCAGAGAAAAGAAACACTAAAGTTAAGACATCTCAGCACTCACAATACCATGTCTGTGACATGACTATGAAGTACACCTCAAATATTTAAGCAGATTTGAGCAGTATTCTGGCAGTTACAGTAGAGAAAGGAAGAAGAGGAAGAGGAAGAGAAGGAAGGTCAAAACTTCAGTTTCATTTTCAGCTTTATAGGGAGTTTGAGGCAAGCCTAGGCAACATGAGACCCTAACTCAAGAAATATTTGATTCCGTTTTCAGTCACAGTAAATTTAAAGACAGTAAAATGCATAGATTTATATAATTCAATGTGTTTTTATTACCTTCCCTTCCTTCCTCCCCTCCTCCTCCTCTTCTTCCTCTCTCCCTCTCTCTGGGTCTTTGTCCCTCCCTCCCTCCTTCTCTCTCTCTGTCCCCCTCTCTGGGTCTCCATCCCTCTCTCTCTGAGTCCCCCCCATCTCTCTCTGATTATGTCCTAGCCTGGCCAAAATCTCCTGATCCTCCTGTCTCAGCCTCTGGGATCACAGGTGTGCACCAATACCCCCTGTAATTTGATCTGTTCTTGAATGTTATTCACGTGGAGTGACTATGAGTGTCATAATTAACTTCAGTTGTCAACTTGGTACAAACTAGAGTCACTTGTGAAGAAGGAGCCTCAGTTGAGGAATTTCCTCCATCACATTGACCTGTGGCCATGTCTATGAGGCATCTGTTTGATTGCTAATTGATGTATGAGGGCCCAGCCGACTGTGGATGGTGCCATTCCTGGGCAGGTACATGGTGCCATCCCTGGGCAGATGGGTCTGTGTTGTATAAGAAAGGTCACTGAGAAAGCCCGGGTAGCAAGCCAGTGAGCAGCATTCCTCCATGGTCTCTGCTTCAGTTCCTGCTTCCAAGTTCCTGCCTGGGCTTCCTTCGATGATGGGCTATAACCTGTAAACCAAATAAACCCTTTCTTCCCCAAGTTGGTTTTGGTCATAGTATTTATCACAGCAACAGAAACCGAACCACGACACAGTGTACGTATGACTTTGCATCTGGCCTTCTTTCACTCCATTTGTTTGCAAAATCCATGTCAGTTGCTGCAGGAATCAGTGACTCTCCTTCATATGAATGGATATGCCACTCTTAGGCACCTGAGCACCTGTTAATGGGTATTTGGGTATTTGGGTTGCAGACAGGGGTCTCACTACAGCCCAGGCTGGCCTTGAACTCTCCTCCCCTGCCTCTCAACCTCTCCATGCTGGGATTACAGACCCCCACCACCAGGATTGGCTCACTCTCCCCTTAAAAATTTTTAAAGTTTCTCTCTCTCTCTCTCTCTCTCTCTCTCTCTCTCTCTCTCTCTCTGTGTGTGTGTGTGTGTGTGTGTGTGTGTGTGTGTGTGTGTGTGAAGCACCTGCAGAGGCCAGAAGAGGGCATTGGATCTCTTGGAGCTGGAATTGTCTGACTTGGGGTGCTGGGACCTGAACCTAGATCCTCTGTAAGAGCAGCCAGTGCTCTTAACCACTGAACCATCTCTCCAACCCTTATCAATCATGTTTTTTATAATACATCTTTTCTCATGTATCATGTATCTGTCATCTATCTATCCACTCTCTCTCTCTCTCTCTCTCTCTCTCTCTCTCTCTCTCTCTCCACCCACCTGTCTATGGTTTGAATATACAGTGTCCCCTGCATGTTCATGTATTTGAACACTTGGTCTCCAACTGGTGCCGCTGCTTTTCAGGGTCACGGACCCTTCCAGACTTGTGGCTTAGCTGGTATAAGCAGGTTGCTGGGGTTGGGCTTCAAAGTGACATCTTCTGGCTCTGACCTGAGCTGCCACATGTGCCCACTGCTGTGAACTGCACCTCACCTTCCCCACCGTGATAGAACGAAACAATGAGCCGCCTTCTGTTGAGGGTTTTGTCACAGCAACGGAGACGCAACTAATACATAAGACACAAGAGGAAAAAGACGTCTACTGAGGGAAAAAAGGAGAGGCGACTCATGGGAACGTAGTGAGGGTGCGGTCAGAGGACACGAAACACTGCATGGAGATATCGTTATGAAACCTATTGCTTTGTAATCAATATATGAATCACTTTTAAAAAATTAAATTTAAATTTAAAAATCACACTCCCAACTTACAGGATACAGCAGAGATTGTCAGAGGCTGGGGGTTGGGTGGGCAGGGAAACGAGGCAGTCGGAGGAGCAAGCCTGACCTGTGTGACCCAAGGAGCAGCTCTAAAATCCTGCTCGGCATGGAACCCAGGGCCAGCCAGGCTCTGACGTTTCCTCCATCTTGTGTTCCCTGCATGCTACCCCAGCTGTGCACCACCCCCACCCTGAAGGTCACTTATGAGGCTTTATCTCTGAGTAGTCGGTGGTGCTGTCCAGCTGCCCCTTTGGGTTCCTGGGCTTCATCTCATGGAAGCTGAGGGATGCGTAATGCACCTCTTCGTCCTCTGTGGAGGAGGGGGCGGCCTTGGCTGTGGGACGCTGGGATACAGAGTTGTCATCTGTTTGGGGTTCAACTAGGGGACTCTGTGAATAGAGAGAGGAAAGGGGGGGAGTCAGGGGAGGGCAGAGGGAAAAGGTAGAGTCCAGGTGGAAACCCCGAGCTCCTCCATCCACTTATCCAGACACATTTTTATTTTTAAATTTTAATTTACTTATGTGTAAGTGTTTTGCCTGCACATATATAAGTACACCTATGTCATGCAATGCCCACGGATATCAGGGTGTCAAATCCCTTGGAACTGGAGTTAGATACAATTGTTAGCCACCATGTGGGTGCTCAGAACTGAACCTGGGTACTCTGCAAGAGCAGCCAGTGCTCTTAACCAGTGACTCATCTCTCTAGCCCCTCCCCTCCCATGTGCTTTTTTATTTTATGTGTATGCCTGCATATATGTAAGTGCACCTGTATTGTGCAATGGCCATGGAAGTCAGAAGAAGGTATTGGATTTCCCTGGCACTGGAACTGTAGTTAAGGATGGTTGTTAGCTGCCATGTGGGTGTTGGGAATCAACCCAGGTCCTCTGCAAGAGCAGCCAGTGCTCTTAACCCAAGTCATCCCTCTTGTCACATCAGGATATAATTTTTGTTTCTATTTTATAGCTCTGAAGCTGGGTCTGAAATAAGCAAGTGGCTCTCCCAGACTCCCTGACAGTCAGTGCACAGCTGTAATCTCCTCTCATGAAAGAGAGGCAGGAGGATCACTGATTTGGAGGCCAGCCTGGACTACATAGTGAGTTTTAGGACCCCATCTCAAAATAAAAAGTAAAAGAAAACCAAAACCAAAACAAAAGTAAAAACAAAAATCTCCCTGGTAAAGCCAGGACTTGGTGCACTCAGGAGGCAGAGGCAGAGGATCACCAAAAGTGAGTTCCAGGCCAGCCTGGACTATGTAATGAAACATTGAAACAAAAAAAGAAAAAAGTTACCCTATAGCCCCAGCTGGCCTGGAACTCACTATGTAGACCAGGCTGGCCTTGAACTCACAAGAGACCTGCCTGCCTCTGCCTCCCAAGTGCTGGAATTAAAGGCGTGCACTACCACATCTGGCTCAATAAATAAAATACTTTTAAAAACCCATGAGGTGATCCAGTTCTTTCTGATGCCAAAGCTCAGTGTCCTACTAAAGATTTATATCCTACATGTGAGATTCTCAACTGGATATTGGTATACCAAGGCAGATGTGAGAGACATGGAACATGGCCTCTTTTTTATTTTTATTTTTTGATGTGTCTGTGTGTGCACATATGTGTGTTGAGACCGGAAGCTGACATCAGTAGTCTTCCCATATAGCTCTCCTGAAGGGGCTGTGAAATAGTGTTCCAAAATATGCTTGGTAAATTTAGCCAAACCTTGGACATGTATGCCTGGGGAGCCTTGTCGCATGAGAAAGTTCATACAGGAATGCCTGCTGAGGAACTGTCTCTGGAATGCAGGTAGTCCTCTAGTTTCTCAGGAGACACTTTTATCTCTCAAGGCATATTATGGTGGTACTGTTATTCTAGTCATATTTTGCTTCACTGCTATATTCCAACCTCTTTATTATTATTCACTGTCCTGTAAACTTTCAACTGCAGCTCTGATGATTACGAGAATAAAGCAGAGTTGCACGCACTTTCTCTGCTTTTGACACTCCTGCGTAGATGATGGAATAAGGGTAAAGAAATAAAACCACATGAGTCCCCTGGCCTTTTTTCAGTTCTGTGTAATCCATTTAGCCTGCTGAGGTCAGAAGAGGGTATCAGATCCCCTGGAACTGGAGTTACAGATGGTTGTTAGCTGCCATGTGGATGCTGGGAACTGAACCTGTGTCTTCTGCAAGAACAGCCAGTGCTCTTAACCACTGAGCCATCTCTCCAGTTCCTCTACCTTATTTTTTAATTTTATTTTTATTTTATGTGTATGAGTGTTTTGCCTGCATGTAAGTGCACCAAGTGCGTGCAATGCCTGTGGAGGCTGGAAGAGGGCATTAGTTCCTCTGAAACTGGAATTATGGATGGTTCCATTAGCTGCCATGTGGGTGCTGAGAACTGAACCCAGGTCCTCCATAAGAGCAGCCAGTGCTGTAACCACTGATCAATCTCTCCAGCTCCATCCACCTTGTTTTTTAACACAGAGTCTTTCTGAGCCCAAACCTGGAGCTTGCCAGTTAGGCCAAACAAAATAAATAAATGCAATAAAATTTAAATAAAGAAAACTCATAAGTCAAAAAAATTATAAATCAAAACATTGTGACCCTAGAGTATCTGTACTTAAACCCTCAGCCCCTTGTCTAACCATCCACAAAACAATATATTTGGGGCTGGAAAGATGGCTCAGCGGACCTTTGACTTATCTTCACATAGATGAAACTGGTAAAAGAAAGGAGCCAGGGTCTCCTTCCAAGCCCATGTGACCCCTGAGGAACAGATCCTCAAATAACCTTAAGTGTAAAAATAAATTGATTTATTTGGGTCAACCGTATGGTCTTAAACACCCAAAAGGAAAGTATAACAAAAGAGTAAAGTCATCAGTATATTGCTTTAAGAGTTCAAGGGATTGCACTTCCCAGACATTAGGCTTAAGTCTATATAAAAAGTTATTTAGAGCCAAGCATGGTGGCACATGCCTTTAATCCCAGCACTCGGGAGGCAGAGGCAGGTAGATCTCTGTGAGTTCAAGGTCAGCCTGGTCTACATAGTGAGTTCCAGGACAGCTGGGGCTACAGGGAGACCCTGTCTCAAAAAGACCAAAAAAAAGTTTAGACAATTATTTCTCACTGATGATTTTGTTCTAACCAGAAAGTGCTCCTCAGATGTAAGACTTCAAATCTTGGTCTCCAATACTGTAGTGCTCACCTGTAGCTAAGGGAGACAACCAGCTATTGTTCTAAAATGATGGATAAATTTTTCTCCCCCGATCTAGAAGCCTTTGAGAGGGAACTGACACTGATTCTAACCAGTTCAACAGTTATCAAAATACCTGAGAGCAAATCCTGAATCCATTACTCTAGAGTCCAGCCTTAGAAAGCAAAAGAAAAAAGAGGAGGAATCCAATAGAGGGATGCTTTTGGAAGCCTTGGTCAAGAAATCCCAATGGACTCTCATATGAACATTGGAAAATTGCCCTGTTCTGACTTTTTTCTAGTTCCCCGTCTAGAACTTGTAATGCTAATTACTCTTGTCTTTACTTCTCCTTCACATCTCCTATTCATGATTCAAGGACTTTCTTTTCCTCCTTGAGATAAGAGTTATGCAATTTGGGAGTCTTTTAGATAGACTCACTGAAGGGGTACTCCAATTGCCTCACCCTGCGTCCCTGTTCAGCATGGAAGAAGCCAGAGCGGTCTGCGTCCCAATTCCCTATTGGCAATTTGGGTAAGCCTCTTCAGAGGATGGTGTGATAAGAATAAGAGGTAGGAATTGGCTAGGCAGTTAGGGAAAAAAGACCCCAAAGAAAAGTAGCCAGTTTCTTGGCTAAAAGTCAAAATGTCCTTGGGCCTCTTAGCTACATACTCTGTTCCAAAGGCCAAAAATTTCAAAAGTATTTGGGAACTTGTATCTAGTCCTTAAGAATTTAGGGTTACCTTTTCAGCGGGGGGAATGTTAGAGTACCCCCAAACCCCATAAAAATAAATAAATGAAAGAAGAAAAAAAAAAGAAAAGAAAAAAGTGATGGGGTGATATGGGAGGTATTGGAGTGGGCATGGATTTGATCAAAACACCTTATATGCATGTATGAAGTTCTCAATAAAGTTTTTGTAAACGTTAAAAAAAAAAAGAGTACTGGCTGCCCTTGTAGAGGATTGGGTTCTGTTCCTAGCACCCACATGGCAGCTAACAACCATCTGTAACTCCAGTTCCAGGGGCTCAGACACCCCCTCCATGTGCACATACCCCTCATACATATATAACTTTAAAAATAACGTGAATACTAATAAACAAACAGACTCAAGTTTCATTTCTCCTTCAGTGCCTCGTGGTGTCTCCTGCAGTCATCTGGCCCTCAGTGCTTGGCACCTCGCCTTCCTGTCTGCTCAAGGCAAACATCTGCCAGTCAGCCTCCAACCTCTGTCACTCCATCACCCTTGATCCTTTGCCACTTGAACCCCACGCTGTGTCCCCAGTTATCCCATGCATCTTGGCTCCCCAAGCCATCTAGTAACCTTCCACAAGCATCCATCCAAGTCACAGTTACATCGCTTCTCTAGTTTCTTCTTGTGCTCCCCATGGTGAGTGAGCTTAGGCATGATTTTCACACTCAACTTCTCCAAAATCACTTCCTCTGCTGGCTCTCCTTCCCCTATGTTGTCAGACAGGCCCCTCACTGCTCTCCTCCTCCATTCCCTGGCTGACTCCTGTTTCTAAAAACTGTTATCTGCCCCATCCTCTTGCCTGAAACATCCAAATGACAGTGTCTCTGTCATCAATAAACAAAATGACCATCAACCTACAGAAAATATTTAGGGGCTAGACATCTGGTAAGGGACTAATAACCAGAGTAGATAAAGAATGTCCATAATTCAACCGCAACAAATACACTCCAACTAGGAAATCAAAGAACCTGAATAGCTTCTCTAGAAGATACACAAGTGAAGAGATGGTCACTGTCATTAATTATCACAGAAATGCAAATTAAAACCATAAAGAAGAGGCTGGAGAGATGCTCAGCAGTTAAGAGCATTGTTGCTCTTGTAGAGGACCCAGGTTCAGTCCTCAGGTACCCTCATGGCAGTTAAAAACCATTTGGAACTCCAGTTTCAGGGGATCCAACACCCACATGCACATGGGTATGCTTAGATACATGCAGGCAAAACACTCATACACATAAAATAAAAATAAATAAATAAAAACTTTAAAACCACAAAGAAATAGCACCTGGCATTCATTAGGATTCTGCTATTAAAATACTATGAAACAAAACAAAACGGAAAATAGTGTGTGCCAAATCGGGATTCCTTGTGCACTTTTCGTGTAAATGTAAAATGGCTCAGACAGTGGAAAACAGTGGGACAGATTCTTAGGAAGCTAAAAGTAGAGCTGTATGACCCAAAAATATGGGTATATAGCCAAAAACTTGAAATATCATCCTGAACATCTACCATTTGTACTCGCTGTAGTGCTTCCTACAAGAGCAAACAGAAGCTGCTCAGGTGTTGCCTGAAACCGTGGTACATACATGTGTAGTGGAATATTACTAACATTAAAAAAGAAAGAAACCTTGTCACATGCTACAACATGGGCAGGCCTTGAGCACACACGTTAAATGAAATAAGCCGTTAACCAAACGACAAATATGGTATGGTTCCATTTGTGAGGTACCCAATAGTCAAACTCACCCAAATGGAAAGCAGAATAAAAATGCCAGGGGCTAAGAGGGAGGGGGAAGCCACATGAGTCATTGCTCAATGTGTAGTTTTAGTTTTGCAAGATGATAAAATCCTAGGCAACTGTTGCACACAAGTGCATACTTTAAAATGGTGAAGATGGTAAATTGTATGCTACATGGGGTAACGTGTCTATAGCATAGATAATAGAAGATTCATGGTAGATAGATTATATACATTGCTAGATAGACATCATCAATATAGACAGATTAGATAGATGATAGATAGATGATTGATAGATAGAGATAGATAGATGATAGATAGATAGATAGATAGATGATAGATATATGTGTAGACATCATCAATAGATATATAGATAGGTAGATAGATAGATGATAGATGATAGATGATTGATAGATGATAGATAGATAGATAGATAGATAGATAGATAGATAGATAGATAGATAGATAGATAGGGCTGGGGATGTGGCTCAGTTGGTGGAGTGCTTGCTTAGCATACATGAAGCCCTGAGTTCCATTCCCAGCACCACAGTGGTGCACACTGTCATCCCAGCACTCAGGAGTTAAAGGCAGGAGGATCAGAAATTCAAGGTCTTCTTGACTACACAAGAATTTAAAGCCAGACTAGGATACATGAGACCCTGTCCCAACAAAAAGAATAGATAGTGGGGTGGGCTGAAGAGATGGCTCAGCAGTTAAGAGGACCTGCTGCTCTTGCAGAGGACCCGAGTTCTCCAGTTCCAGGGGAATTCAATGCCCTCTTCCGACCTCCGCAGCGTTGCACGACACAGGTGCGCTTACATACTTATAGGCTATAGAACACTCATACGCACAAAATAAAAATAATAAATAAAATATTTTTAGAAGGACAGATTGATAGACAGATACAGCTATACAGATGGCAAATCGCTGTAGATTAATAGCTAGATGGATATTGACAGAGTTCACTAGTTAGAGGATAATATAGATAGGTAGACAGACAGATGCCAGCAAGCTACACAGACAGAAGGTAGATGGATAGGTGATCAATAGATGATAGAGTTTGCTAACTAGACAAGGGATAACATAGGTAGACAGACAGACAGACACTAGCAAGGGTAGGGAAGAACCAAACCACACAGCCTGTCTCCTAGCACTTCCTAGTCTCCATGCCTTCCGTTTCCCCAACACTGTCTCTACCCTTTCTATTGTGTTCACTTAGGACTGTTTGGGTGGTTTGATGATATGCCTGTCTTTAGAATAAATCATGACTAACCCTAAGGTTCTGTCGGATTCTTAAAGATGGGTCCCTGGCACTGACTGCTGGCCTCTTGGGACATTCTTGTCATTTTCCAAGCGGATACAAGGATACACACGGCTGGGGTAATGACTCAGTGGTTAAGTACTTGCAGTGTAAGCATTGAGGATCAGAGTTTGGAGCCCTGGAACTGATGTGAATGTTGGGTGGGTGAAGCAGCCCACCTGTAATTCCAGACAGAAGACAGAGACAGGGCATCCCCAGAGGAGACTAGCCTCATCAGTGAACTCTGGGTTTGACTGAGAGACCGAGTCTATGAATAAGGTGGAAGAGCAGTGGAAGATGGTTTCTGATGTCAACCTCAGGCCGCCTGCACACACACTCATGTGCACCCACATACATACATATGCAAACATGCATACAAAAATGCACACTACACCCCCCCCACACACACGATGGACAAAGAAGAGAAAATATACATGGAATTCTGTGCTCAGAACCTCCCAGAAGCACGAAAAACCTTCCTGTGGTTGAGAACAGAGAGAATTCCAGTGTGGACAGAACAGCAGCACCCACCGAGACCAGCAAAGGTTCAGCGAGGTGCCAGGGCTGGGGGGATGCTCAATCAGTAACATGTTTGCGTGAGGACCCCAGTTTGTAAAAAGGCCAAGTTTAGCCAGGCATTGTGATGCTCACCTTAAATCCCAACACTCAGGAGGCAGAGGCAGGTGGATCACTGTGATCTACACAGCCAGTTTCAGACCAGCTGGAGCTGCAGAGAAACACTAACGCCTGTCCCCCCAACAAAAGGAAAAAGGCCAGACTTGGTGATCCAGGCTTATAATCCAGCACTGGAGTGGGGAACACCAGAGGGGGAGAGGGAGGAGGGGGAGGAGAGAGGATGAAGGAGGGGAGGGAGATGTGAGCAGAGAAGGGAGAGAGAGAAGTGGGAAGGGAGGAGGACAAAGGGAGGGAGGGGGAGACAGACAGTCATGGTGGGGTCAAGAGGCAGAGGGCCTGAGCCTGTTCTTGTTCTGAGGAGGACACTGGACCCAAAGCCGTGGAATTTAAGCACGAACAGAGGAAAAGGAAGGCAGAGCAGAGCTAAGTCCTCCTCAGAGCCCGCCCAAGGGACAGCAGAGAGGAGGGGGCTGTCCGCAGCCAGCGACCTGGGAAACCGGCAGGAGAGGCAGACGGAACAACTTGGACCATCCTCAGAGCATCAATCCGGGGAGCCACCGCGGGGAGACGTTAAGTGGGAGGATGCTGGGCTTCGACATAGGTACCCCAATCCCTCACCTGAGAAACCGAGCCCTTGAGGGTATTTGGATCCTGTGCCCCGGCTGCTCGACTGGCTGACTTCCTCCTGCAGGACCGCGCCCTGAATGGGGCACAGCACAGTCTGTTAGTGTGGGCAGATGAGGGCTCAGGGCGCAGACTCCCCCCGACCCTCTCCTGTTAGTGGCTGGAGGGTGGTCACGGAGGTCCCGTGGCAGAGGCTTCTGTGTTGAGAAGGTGGCTTCCACCCTTGAGGACAGCGGGGCCCCAGGGTTGCGGGACACACGGACCATGCGCCTGGACCACAGTTCCCCTTGGCCCACTAGGTCCTTCTAGCTCTGGCCTCAGGGTCAGGCACCGGCTTCTCCCTCACCACCCCGGGTTCTCTCTCCCACTCGAGGTCGGTGCTCACGCCAGGAGGACTAAGCAGAAGGACAGGAAAAGGAAGGTTGTGGCTCCCGCGCCCATGAAGACTCCGAGCACCATTCTGGATGAAACCGCAGTGCCTGTGAATGGACGAGACTCTGAGGAACCACCGCTCTTCTCTCACCCATCCCAGCCCCCTGGGAACCTCCACTTCAGGCCTCGTCCACTCCTCACTCAGACACCAAGAGCAGGGACCCAACAGGGACCCAAGTGGAGGGGACAGGGGTCAGGACTAGATGGAGCAGAGGGGTGAAGGAGCTGGGCTGCAGTTTGTCTTGATTTAGAGTTTAGTGTTTTGTTCAACATAGAATTTATTCTATATTTATATTTATGTAGCTATATTTAAGTTTTCAATTTTAAAAATATTTGTTTACGTTGGGGGGGCAGTTGAGATAGAGCCTCACTATTTAGTCCTGGCTAACCTGGAACTCACTATATACACCAACTCATAGAGATATGCCTGCCTTTGCCTCCCAAGTGCTAGGAGTAAACATGAATACCACAACACCAGCAATACATAGGAATGTAGCTCAGTAACACTGGCGAGCATGTGCTGGGACCTCAGCTCCAACCCCAGCATCACAACAAAGCAAGCCTTTCTCCATCCCCAGCCAGGTGTGAGGAAGAATGTGTGTCATTTCGGCCTTTGAGACTGAGGCAGGGGGATGACAGGTTCAAAGCCTGCCTGGTCTATGGAGCTCAAGGTCAGAGGGGCAACTTAGCAAGACTCTGTCTCAAAATAAAAATTAAAAAGAGGGCTGGGATGTGACTCAGTGCTAGAGCCCCTGCCTAGAATCCTCCAGTGAGGGGCTGGGGTGTGGCTCAGTGCTAGAGCCCCTGCCTAGGATCCCCCAGTGAGGCGCTGGGATGTGGCTCAGAGTTAGAGCCCCTGCCTAGGATTCCCCAGTGAGGGGCTGGGGTGTGGTTCAGTGGTAGAGCCCCTGCCTAGGATCCCCCAGTGAGGGGCTGGGTATGGCTCAGGAGTAGAGCCCCTGCCTAGGATCCCCCAGTGAGGATCTGGGGTGTGTCTCAGAGGTAGAGCCCCTGCCTAGACTCCCCCAGTGAGGGGCTGAGGTGTGGCTCAGTGGTAGAGCCCCTACCTAGACTCCCCCAGTGAGGGGCTGGGATGTGTCTCAGAGGTAGAGCCCCTGCCTAGCAGATGCAGGGATATAAGTCTAGGATCTAGAGTCTTTTCAGTGCCCCCATCACCATATTGATTTGATTCTTGAGTTGATTCTTGTTTGTGGTCATACTGTTTTAGTTGGATTTTCCCTTAAGTTTTGCACACAGGGCAAGCGCCTCCCACCCCCTATTCTTGCAACAGCCAAGACTTTGTGTCTCCAGTATGCCCAAGTCCCAGTCCCTGTGGCAGGGCAGATGCTGTGTCCTCCTGACCAGCTCCCACCCACAGGCCACTCACTCTGCGAGGACAGGCTCAGGGATAGTTGTTGGGAGCCCACGTTGTTCTGAGCTTGGCAGCTGAGCAGTCCTCCCTGCCTAGTGTGCGCTGGAGACAGCTCCAGCAGACCAGGGTTGGGCAGCTGCGAGGGACACAAGCTCACATTCTCCCAGGTCCAGCTCAGCTTGGCAGAGGGATAGCTGTCCGCGTCACAGAGGAGACGCAGAGACTGGCCCTCAGGGACAGATAAAGATGAACCATTTTCCTGGACTGTGGAGGCTAGAGAGAGAGAGGTTGGAAGGGGATCCAGAGAGAGGGGACTGACAGACAGACAGGGACTGAGGACAGGAAGATGCACACTTTCACCCATCACCAGCAGGAATCTAAACTCGTCTGATTTCAATGTGAATAACTTGATCATAAGTTTCAAAATTAGAAAGAAAATGTGACCCAACTATACATATTGGTTTTCTGTTTTGTTTTTAAACATTAAATTTTTTAAAATTTATTTTATTTTATTATTTTAATTTTTTAATGTGTATGAGTGTAATGTCCTGGGAGGTCAGAAGAGACTGTTAGATTCCCCTGGAACTGGAGTTATAGACGGTTGTTAGCTACTGTGTAGGTGCTGGGAACTGAACCCGGGTCATCTGCAAGAGCAGCCAGTGCTCTTCTACGCTAAGCCATCTCTCCAGCCCATGTTTTGTATTGCTTTAAAACAAAGTCTTATTATGTAACCCTGGCTGGCCTGTAATTTGCTACATAGACCAGGCTGGCCTTGAATTCAGAGATGCCTCTCCCTCTGCCTCTCCAAAGTTGAGATTAATGGAATGTACCACCAGGCATGGCCAGCTGTACATTTTGAATTTAGGAGTTTTGTGTGTGTGTGTGTGTGTGTGTGTGTGTGTGTGTGTGTGTGTGTTTATTGCAGTCTTATGTAGCCAAGGCTAGCCTTAAAATCACTATGTAGCCAAGAATGACCTTGAACTCCTGATTCTTCTGCCTTCCCATCCTCAGAGCTGGGATGACAGGTGTGCACCACCACACCTGATTTATGCAGTGCTGGGGATGGAACCCAGGGCTCTGTGTCTGTTAGGCAAGCACTCTGCCCACTGAGCTAACATCCCCTGCATGAAGGAGAGTCAAACACACACACACACACACACACACACACACACCACTCATGCATAAAAGTAAAAGACTATTCACTGTATGCTAGCAGAATAAAACCAGTGGCACTCCAATCATTGCTATTGGGTGCAGGGAAAGGCAGAGGCTGTAGGCAGCCCCAAATGGATGAGGGTCTGGAATACCTGTTTCTGCTGTGTGTGCACTGCTCTGGACTTGTGGGGGCTGAGGGGCATGTACAGAGTCTGGAGGTGTGAGGGGTAGGTAAGGACTCATTCTCAAACACCTGAGAGACCTTCAGAGAGGAGGGGCCACTGGTTCCTCAACAAGGAGCCTCTGTCTCCAGGGTGAGTCCAGCCCCTGCTTTACCTAAACATGTACTATCCCCCCTGACCCAGGATTGCCCCTCCTACCTGGACCAGTTCTTTGGTAGATGGTCACAGTTAGATTCCTTGGAGCATCTGTGAAAGGATGACACAGAGGACCCATCAGTGGAAAGGCTGGGTGGACATCTACCCTCTGTCCCCAGGAGCTGACCAGGTGGGGATGGTGGGCTCCATCTGGTTCCATCTGGTCCTGACCTGCCCCCAATCGTTATTCAGTGATTCATGTCCTGACCTTGACCCCTTCCTCCCTTTCTTAGGGACCTCTCTCCATCAGAGTCACAATATCCCAGCCCAGCCTCACATGACACATTGAGATGGACGGTCCTTTCTGTGCTCACATTAGCCCCAGGCAGGGTCACCTGACAGGTCAGGTTGGTGCCATGGTCCTGGGGCTGCAGGATGAGGGTCAGCACGGAGGAGGAGTCAAAGGGTGACACAGAAGTCCCAGTCCAGGAGAAGGTGGGGGGTGTCCCCCTTGCACAGGCCCAGGGTGCAGAACAGGTCAGGTTGCTAGGAAGGCCAGCCTTCAGGGTCTCCGGCATGAGGATGTGGGGGGTGTTGGTGAGGGCTGGTGAGGAGAAGGGAACACACAGGATCAGGAGGGTGAGGTGCGACTATGGGGGAATCCCAGGCTCTGATCCAGCTCTTCCCCTGTCCTGAAGCTCCAGCCCCAGCTGCTCCAAGGACGGGTCCCATCCCAGCCCCGCCCTGTGTCTCTCATGACTTCCCCCTGTGGCCACTCTGCAGCCAATGACTTACCTGCCACATGCACAGTCAGCTTGTTCCTAGCATAACTATACTTTGTCTGTCCTCTCTCCAGTCGAAAGAAGTACAATCCTGCGTCCGTCTTCCTGACATCTCTGATGTCCAGGGAGCAGTTGTTCTTCTTCAGGTCCCCGAGCAGGAGGAATCGGCCCTGGGTCTCCCCCTGTACTGGTTTCTGTGGGTTGTTTGTGGCCACTGGACGGTCTCGGTCTGTTTTGGCCCCTTCCCGAAACCAATATCCATGAACGGGGTCTGAGCCAGTCCAGTGCTCCTTGGGGTAGGAGAACTCACAGGGCACAAGGACACACAGGCCCTCCTGCACAGTCACCTCCCTTGTCACCTCTAGGCTGAAACCCTCCAGGGTGTCCTTCCCACCCTCTGTCCCCTTCATCCCCCAGAGCAGCAGCGACAACAGCAGCATGTCTGGCTGCAGCTGCAGGGCCACCAGGGGAAGTTGGTGGCTCTGGACTCTTCTCTGAGGAACTAAGAGATGCAGGACATGGAGGAGCCCACAGGAAGCAGGGCGAGGGCAGGGCAGTGGCCGCCTCAGGGGAGGAGCTTCCCACCCAGGCCCTGTCCAGGCTGTCAGCCCTCGAAGACCAGCGGCCTCCTACCCAGGTCCGCTTCTGAAGCAGGGGAGGGTGAGAGGCTCTTAAACTCCACCCCCACCCCCAGACAATCCCGTCTCTTCCCTCCCTATACACATTGGCCCTTGGGTGACATTTTCTGCACTGTGAAAATGAGTCTCCTCTGATTAGACCTTTGCATCTCCCCTGAGGCTGATAGCATTGAAGTTAGGGGTGGGACTCAGGGGTGGGGGACACAAGAAGTCCAGTCTGGGGAGCAGCAGCCTCTCTCCCCTCCTACAGCAGCCTGCTGTGGCCACACCCTCTCCGCATAGTGACTTAGGCCCTGCCCCCAAGGCCTCACTGTCCAGTAGGCGCTTGATAGAACTTGGGGCCTCTGGGGCACCACATGGGGAGTCGGGGGGGGGGCAACAAATTTAGGGTCCCTGGGTATTTTTGTTTATTCATGTTCCCAATCTCCTCTCTCTTTCTTGGGTCCTACATTGGTGTATGGGGGAGGAGAGACAAAGAAGCCTGTTAGTGCTGACCTTGGAAACTACAACACAGATTTCTGCCAGGATGGACTTCATGCTAAGGACGGAATTCAGGGCCTCCCACATGCTAAGCAGGTGCCCTAGCCTTGAGTCATACGCCCCAGTCCCTCACTAGGGAATTCTAGGCAGGGGTTCCACCACTGAGCCACACCCCAGCCCCTCACTGGGGGATCCTAAGCAGGGACTCTACCCCTGAGCCACACCCCAGCCCCTCACTGGGGGACTCTAGGCAGGGGCTCCACCACTGAGCCTCACCCCAGCCCACCAATATATATTTCCTCCCTGCTGTTCTCTGCCGCTGCCCCCTTGTCCAGAGGGTGACTGGTTTGCTCAGGGATCCCTGGAAATCCGTGTGAGCAGAGGACCTGGAACAAGGAGCCCAGCCTCCTACCATCGGCAGCTCCTAGAAGAAACACACACTTCAATTCAATAGACATGACTGTGCTTCACTTGTGGTGGGAGCTGGGAGGAGGCGGGTATGGTCCTAAGTGGAGCCTCCTTTGACTCATGTTAGTTTTCCTTGAAACATGTTTTGGGTGAAGAAAATGTCCAACGTTTCAGTCAAAGTCTCTCTAAAGAACAGCTCAGCGATTTACCACACAATGACTATCCACGATGCTGGCCCGGTGAGCCCTCCGGGACACAGCAGCTCCCGTCTCCTATTCCACACCTGTTCTTCCAAGGAGACCCTGAGGACCCTGAGCATCACAGAAATGTTCCCAGCCTTTGCTTCGCAGGGTCGTCTGCATGCCACCTGGAGCTCTGTAGCTTTGCACGTGTTTGTCTCAGTACCGTATGTGTACAAGCTTAGCCTGTATTCTTTTACTCCATTTCATGAATCTGCCCAACTGTAACCTGAATGAAAGTTGTTGTCTGTGACAACAGAAATGGCAAGGTGTGCAGTTCACAAATGCCTGGCCACTGTCCCCAATACACACACACACACACACACACACACACAGACACATGCACACACACACACGCACCATGCAAATACACACATATACACGCATATACACACAGACCACACAAACATACACACAAACCTCACAGATACATACAGACATGCACACACATATACACATGCACACATATACACACATACACACCCAGCACACACTACACCACACATATACACACACATACACATGCACACACATACATACCCAGCACACACTACACCACATATATAACACACATACACACATGCACATACACACACTGCACAGATACACACAGATCACACACATACATGCACACACACCACACATACACCACACACATATACACACCACAGAATACATACACCACACACCTAACACATGCATACATGTATATGCATACATACATACCACACACACATATACACATTCATACACACACCACACCCACACCCACATTTGTACACACACCACACACATACCCACACCACACACACATGAACACATATGCACACATACACACCCAGCACACACTGCACCACATATATACACATACACACATGCACACACATACATAACCACACACATATACACAGCACACACAATACATACACCACACATCTAACACCTAACACATGCACATATGTATATGCATACATACATACCACACACACATATACACATTCATACACACACCACACACACCCACATTCGTACACACACCACACACACACACATTTATACACCACACACACCCACATTTGTACACACACCACACACACCCACATTCGTACACACACCACACACATACCCCCCCACATGCACCATACACAGGTGCACACACAGCTTACTCAGGCACACACACAGCTTACATCGACACTTCCCGAGTCGTCACCCGGCACCTTTCACACTCTTCCCCAAACTCTTTCCCAATAGCAGCAGCTACAGCAACTCCACGATCAGAAGGGCTGGGCCATCACCCGCCTGTCCCCCGTTGCCCACAGTTTGCACAGAAAAGCAGAACAGGAGACTCAACGAAGACTCTGAGACTCTGTTCCCAAGAGAGGAACTTATGACGCTCAGCGCACGAGAGGGGAGCGGCCCCGTGGTGACACTTCTCTATTTTCAGGGGTTGCTGGTTCCAGGGTGCAAATGCTAAGTCTGAATCCTTGAGCCCCTCTATGTGTCGAGATTCCCACCCCCAAGGCTTGTTAAATAGAGGCGGGGAGTCTGTGTGTGTGCACTCGGAGGCCAGAGGCTGACTTTGGCTTCTTCCTCCATCGCCCTCCTCCTTACTTTTCAAGCAGAGTCTGTGATGGTTCATCTCAATAGTCAACTTGAGAGCTGGAATCCCCCAGGTATTGGGTTTCTGGACACACCCCTGGAGGGTTGTCTTATGTTCACTGAGGTGGGAGACCCACCCACTGTGGGTGGCCATCATCTGAGGGAATCCTCTGTAGAAACCAGGAGAGCTGAGCACTTGCACAGTGTTTGTTGCTGTCTGCATCTTGCTTGTGGATGTGACGTGGCTGCTGCTCAAGCGTCTGTTGCCTTAACTTCCCAGCCAGGGAGGACCGGTCCTTGAACTGTGAGCACAATAAACATTTCTCCCTTAAGTGGCTTTTTTCAGGGTCATGTATCACAGCAAGAGAAAAGAAAAGAAGACAGGGCCTCTTCCTGGCTGGTTGTCGAGCCCCCCTCCCTGGCTGGTTGTTGCTTGCTCCACCCCTACTCCACCACCATGGTTATCGACATGTGCTGCCACACCCAAATTCCAGGTGGATGGTGGGGATCTGACCATGTTTGTGAGGCAAGCACTTTACTCCCTGAGCCATCTCTCCAGTTCTGTGCATGTGAGTTGTTCAGGAGAGGATCAGGGGTGAGGCCCTCCCAAGTGGGACTAGTGCTCATTAAACAAGAGACTCAAGGGAGGTGGTTGGCTCCTTCTATCACACAAGAAAGCAACACCTATGGGAAGCATCATGCCTTTGCTAGACATAAAATCCGCCAGTGCCTTGATTTTGGACTTCCTAACCTCCAGTTCTATCGTTGTAAGCCACACTATTTATATTTGTATGTTGTTATAGTAACCCGATATTACCAGCACAGGGAGTGAATTGTCCAAGTCCATGGGTTCTCATGCTCCCGTCTGCACAGGGAGTCTCTTTGTCAACTTTTACCTGCTAGGATCAATTCAATGCTTATGAATTATCATCTGTCCATGGTGTGAGGGACAAGATCACGTCCATTCATTCACTCATTCATTTGGCCATTCATTCGATAGGGCACATTCACATTGTGCCCTCAGTTTTCCAGCAAAGGCAGGAAGGATAGATCCAGCGGACAGCAATGTCTGGGTGAGAGGCAACACGGGTCCTGGGGAGCCCAAGGCAAAAGGGGCGAGCTTCTGTCCATGGTGCCGATGGAGGCTGCGCTGTGGGATGCTCCGTGGAGCCTGGTCACACAGAACAGTCTCTGGTCTGGAAATGCTGATGGCGGCCTATGTCCACCGTGGAGGAGGCGCCCAAGAGAGGTGCAGATTCGGTTTCTCCTCTTTGTTCTGTTTATCTTCAGGGATGAGCTGTGGGTAGTGCAGGCTGTTGTTACCTGTTTCAGAGGCAGGGGAGGTGGAGGTACTGTGCTGTTCTCTAAGACACGCTGTCATTGGTCTTCCTAACATCCCTGAGTGGATTGATCCTCTCCCCCATCGAATACATAAGACAGCTGATGCTCACACAGTGAGTGAGCAGCTGTAGGAACTATGGGAATAAAGGGGAAAAATTCTCTCCAGATACACAGTAAAAAAAAAAAAAGCCTTAAGCACAGAAGGAATCCTGTGGGGATGGAAGAAAGCCCTACCAGAAGCCATTGGTTATTAAATGAAAATCCTAGTGCCAGAGGTGGGTTGTCCCCCATCCGCCTATGGGCTGTAGTCTGGAGGGGCCCTAGAGGTCCTCAAAACAATAAAGGCCATTGCCAATAATGTTGGTTATACACCAGAAGTGGTGTGGGAGAGGAAGAAATCAAGCTTGGACTAAGCTGGAAACTCCCTGCCACTGGGTGGGTGGCTTTCATGGTGACAGATGACTCCGGGAGAACAGTCCCCTATAATTCTCAGCAACAGACCCCACATACTGCACTATCAACATGTCCAACAAGATGTTCCAGTTGGTGCAATAGTGGGGTGTCTAGTGTACATATAACCAGCAAATTTTCAATTGGATATAATTCCGGCTCCTGGGGGTGGACTACACATCTTGTACTATAGACAAGGCCAACCCCCTGTAGCAGGGGAGGATATAGGCCCCAGTGGGAGGCCCATTGCAAGTATTTTGTTAGACGGATGTGATGCACCTGCTAAAGTACCAACTAAACATTTGTGTTTATGCCCATAGGT